CTTTGACTATGCCCTTTTTCTGTAGGGAAAAAATAGAGGAAGAAAGAATTAACGTTTTTGAAAAGCAACAATAGAAAGGCATGGTTTTGTCTCTTTTCCTCTGTGTACATGCATGCCTACTTCCTGCATACAAAGTTGACTTTTTTGCTTCCTGTATGGAGTTTGCTGCCTCAGGGTATGCAAAACTAATTGTATGATTATGTATTCGAATATGGTCGTTTGATGAATAGGTAATGCCCTTTTGTAAAATACATTTTTAAAAAAATTATGGAAATAGCATCACACCTCCATGCTACTCTTAAAAGATGCTAGATATTTATTAAACTTACTCCTACAAAGAATCAGATCTGATAGCATGATAAATTACATTTGTTATTTTCCTGTTTTCTAAATTATTCTCCCAAGCACAATCTATAAAACTCTAAACACCATTGTCTAAATTTTTTGTAGTGTTTTATACAGAGATCACTTAAACAGACACACTACGAAACCTATGCAGAAAGATTTATTCCTTTTCTGTCAGTGGGAGAGATTAGGATTCTAACAATTTTCACTAGAGGAGACTTAAGAATCCCTCTCCCCGGCTGCGTGGACCTTCAAATCAATCTGTGTCTTGATGTAGCTTTTGACCTGACAGCAACTCCAGTACCGTTGCTGGTACTGGTAGCTCTGAGGCAGTGAAAGCTTATAGCTGCATTTGGTTTAGACTGAGGTGGCTTAAAAATCTGGCATGCCAGATTGAGACAAGAAGCATGTATTTGTAAAGCAGGTCTACTGTTGTGATGGGCTTTAAGTACATTTTTGCCCCATTGGGTTTAAACCTGCTTCTCCTTTCTTCAAAAGCTTCTGTGCTGGCTTAGCCTTCTTTAATTGCAACTTCAGTGTATTCAGCCAGAGCTGTGTGCCTGATTCTATCTGTGATCTGACAACCTTTTTTCCTTACAGTTACAAATTAGTGTCTGTTTCACACCTTAGATGTAATTGTGCACACAGACTTGTCTTTTGGCTGGATTTCTTATGTTGAATAGGTACTTCCCAGGCTGCTTTATTCTTTTTGTATGAAGGCATGACCACTGCAAGGCCTAGTATAGTTTTTGGTATTACTTTCTTGGTTCTGTGTATTCTTTTTGTAACAGTGAATGGCTGTTAATTTGTCTGTATTCATCACCTAGAATTCATTTAACTTCTACTGTGGTGGTTAAAATGTGCAATTTTTTTTAAACAAGATCTATACATGCATTACATACATACATGCACACACCTGCCTTCCATCTTTGGTGTAGAATGACTACAAAATACTGAAGCACGCAGAAGGAATTGCTACCACTGATCACAAAAGACAGACAAATGATCACATACGTATTTTGGAATGTTGTAGAAAAACTCTAGGTATTTAAAATTGTATTTCTCAGAACTTCCCTAGTACAAAATGGAAGTCCCTATTCATTAGATGTCCTCTGCTGTTTTATTTCCTTATGATCAAAAGTTCAGCTCTTCGCATTCAGGATGGAAATTGTTAATTGAAGGCGTGATAGCATGCCGACGATAATTAGCGTTGAGCTGTATGCCGAAGTTAGCATAATCCATAACAATTTAATAATGATAGCATGCCGACGATAATTAGCGTTAAGCTGTATGCTGAAGTTAGCATAATCCATAACAATTTAATATATGACTGTGCATGTTAGAGGCATTTATGTACAAATTTGGCTTACATTAAATTGCAGTTCATTTTTATACAGAATTTTAGAGAGTATGTGCTTTTAAAATGTCATTTAAGCATTCTGGGAAATAGTTCCCAGGTTATAAATGGGAAATGTGTAAATAACATTCTGCTCATCAGGTTTTGGTGAGTTGATTTCTTATGCCATGCTAATTTAGATATTTTATACAGATATTTGTATGTTTTATAGAGATATGTATGCTCTGTATTACATATATTTGTTAATATGAAGTTCTTGTATTAAGCTGTGGTAAAACCAAATTCACTGCTTCCCCAAATTATCTGTGTTTTCAGACCATAGATTATTACAAAATAAACCAGTGTGTTATACAGCTCTTTTGTGACAAATGGGTATGCCTGTTAATGTATTGTGTTGCAGGAGATCATAACAGAGAGGGTAATTTGAGTGTATATAAACAGAAAGAGCACATCCTTTGGCTGTTGTCAGGAAGTGGTGCATATATGTACGTTCCTTGTAGCACTCTTATTCAAGATTTAAGTGGTTGTAACTTTTTTTGGCTTTCTTCTAAAACTAGACTTGTTTCTGTACAAAGTTCTAATACAGTTTATCTAATTCATTTTAAATGTTAGTTTATCAAAGCTTCCCCAGGTGTCTTCATATAGATGTGATAACTTACTGCTTTTGAAAAATCTTTCCTACTTTATTCTAATTTATACTTCCTGGCACACTCGAAGATATTTGTATCTTAAGTATAAAGGAGCAATTCCTCAATTCTTTATTTTCATTATAGAACATTTTTCTGGTGCCATTTAAAAAGGATCAAATGATTTTTGTGTCTTCTATTTGTATTTTGACATTGTTATACTTGTTTGTCACTTCAGTAACAGCATATGTAAAGTTACCTGAGTTTCTAAACTTTTTTGGGTATTCATTTGCATTTGGTAGAGGTGTTTACAAACATCTAGAA